TAGCAGGTCGTCGCCTGTCACGGTGCGACACCTGTCACAGGTAACACGTGACCAGTCACGTGCCACCTGTGAGGGGCAAATGATTAGGGGATTTTTATCCACCAACCAGCACCCGACACGTGGGCCAGCCAGGTTTCGCCACGTGTCCTTCATGTAGGCTAATAGGAGCCTGCCACGTGTCATCAAGAGATTCTTCCTCCTTGGACCAATTGCAATGTGACACGTGTCCACCCATGCCAAATGGGAAAACCGGCCAACAAGGCCCAATCATTGTGGGAGGCCCAGTCAGCCTGAGGTTTAACCTAAACCTAGTACTGGCACGCATCCCAAGGCATATAAATATGCCCATTAATCCTCATTAAGGGAGATTACGCACATTTAACACTCTCACCTAGAGAGACCCAATTACTTTTATTTCTGCATTAATTACTCCTTAATCAAGTACTAACTTGACCGTTGGAGGCGGATCTCCAATCGTCCGGAGCATCCGTTTGTTTTGCAGGTACAGGCGTCCGGTTCCAGTCTCAGAATTGTAACTCTCCCGCAGGACATCAGAAAAACCCGAAACATGTGCCATTTAATATAAAAAAAAACCCCACCCCTTAAATCCCCCCAAACCCTACGCTCTCTCTCATTTAGCGGCGCCTCTCTTTCTCTCTCCTGTCCTCCTCTTTCCTTCTCATCTACTTCGTTTTACCATGAGCTAAGTGCTCACTCAATGCACCACGAACTCTTTCTCATCTCCTCCTTCTCTTTCTCATTTCCTTCGACCACAAGTTCTTGAATTCAATTTTCAACACAAAGACATGCAACACCATTTTTCGAGTTTTTAATCGATTTTTTTTATTTTAATCGATTTTATTCGATTTCCATTTCTCGGTTTTATTTTCGAGTTCTGTTTTTTTTTTCTTTCGATTTCAATTGTTTTTTTTTCAATTTTGATTTTTTTTTCGATTTCGAATTTTTTCCATTTCTGGGTTTTTTTTTTCGATTTCAATTTTGGTTTTTTTTTTTTTCTGATTTTGACTTATTTATAATTTCGATTTTGATTTTTGGGTTTCAATTTTAATTGGTTTTTTATTTTGGATTTTGTTTTTTTTTTGGATTCCAATTTTTTTTTTTTTTTTTTTCGATTTTCACTTTTTTTTTAAATTTCGATTTTGATTTTTGGTTTTCAATTTTAATTTTTTTTTTTAGATTTTGGTTTTTTCTATATTTTATTTTTTTTTTCGATTTCAATTTTGGTGTTTTTTTTATTTTATTTTTTTTAAATTTTGATTTTGATTTTCAATTTTAATTTCTGTTTTTTTTTTCAGGGTTTGAATTTCTACTTTTTTTTTCCTGGGTTTGAATTTTTTGGATTGAATTTCTGGTTTTTTTTTTTCCGAAGCTTTTTTTTTATTAATTGATATTTTTTAATTGGTGCAGGTACATTGATTATGCAAGAATATTGATATGTGTATGGGGTTTATTTTTTTTTATTTACGAGTATATTGTAATTTTTTTATGATTTATAATGTAATTTTTGTTATTTATTTATATGTTATAATTGATCTATATTGTAATTTATTTTGATTATATATTGTAAATTTTGGATTATATTGAAACCAATTCGATTTATATTGTGATGTTGTTATTTGTTAGTTGATTTAATTGTTAAGTGAAAAAAGAAAAAAAATTAAAAATTTGGGCACTTTTGGCACCGGTTAACTGGTGCCAAAAACAGTTGAAAAATTTTTTTAAGGCTGTTTTTTGGCAACGGTGAACCGGTGCCAATAACCATTTTTGCCACCCGTTTGAACCCGTGGCCTTTCAAGCTAGTAATTGGCACCGATTCAAACCGGTGGCATTGAGGGGTTTTGAACCGGTGCCAATTTTGTTATTTCACCTAGTGTTTTCATAATATGATTTTGATGATCAAAGTTAGGCATCGACAAATGTATCAGTCAAACTGATGATTTAAAAAAAAAAAAAAGTGGGAGTTCAACTAGTACTTGTTGTTTCGGGGTTTTTTGATGTGTCCTGCGGGAGAGTTACAATTCCAAGAATTCCCTTCGACGCCTGTGCCTGCAAAATCACGAAGACTCCTGGGGGTAGGAGCTCCGCCTCCGACGATCAAGTTAGTAAAGATACGGGAGGTAGAATGCACGTAATGTAGAAGTTACTTCTCGCGTAATGGAAGAATTCTGCAATTAATATTGCTCGGGGTAAGTGTTTTTCTTTTTGAGGAGTATTCAATGTGAACAACAAATGTTTCAGCCCCCCATTAATGAGGGTCCTTCCACTATTTATAGTGGGGAAGGGATGGTTTCCCTTTTAGGGTTTAGAGGACACGTGTCAGCAGAGGATTGGAGCCCTGCTGACCAACGGCTGGATGCCACGTGTCACTAGGCCATTGGGCCACGTGTTTAGGGTATTTTTACCCCAAACATTTGCCCCTCACTGGTGCTGACGTGGCACGGTGCCACGTGGCGCCGGTGAAAGGTTTTTTTTTTTTTTTTTTTTTTTTTTTTTTTTTTTTTTTGAAGGATGGAAAAGCAGAAGGCGAAGAGTCACGACTTTTCACCTTCTGGGACAAATTCTATAAATAGGAGAAGATGTCCCCCGAGCTCTCATTTACAAACTCTGCCAAATTTCTGAAAATTTGAGAGCAGCCGGCAATTTGAGAGTTGAGAGCATTCGGAGTTGAGATTCGTTGAGAGCAACCGGTCTACAGACCGTCTGGGTCGTTGCAAGCTAGCCAGAGGTTTTCGAGAGGGTAATCAGAGAAACCCAGCCGGATTTTGAACCGCCTGCGTCTTCGCAAGCATCCCAAAGAATTTCCAGATTTTCTTCTAGGTACCGTCTCTATTCTTTCTAGCTTTTTCATGTATTTCCGTTTGAGTCTTTTACTCGCATTTTTGTTCATTGGTCCCATAAGTAGATGGACCCCTTATACCCATACCTGGAACCTAGCTGTGAACTCAGCCGGTTTATTAGTACGGCTGAGTCTAAAACTGGGTCTGCCGCCTCTGTTCTTTGGGACAACCCTTTTTCAACACCCATATCGACCGACTCTGTGTCTGTGCAGGACACAATGGCCAGTATCCGGTCTACTGCCAGAGATCCCAACTACAGAAGTGGGAGCTCAGATGAGCAGCCGCCTGAGGTCCTAGCTTCAGGCGGTGAAGTAGAGCAAGGAGAGGTAGAGCAGAGAGGCTCACCCGGGGGCGCTCCTAGCACCCCGGGTGATAGCATTTTAAACGAAGAGAGTGCTCCCCTCCAGGAGACCAGAGAGCAGGTAGGCTCTGATAAGGAGGTCTCCAACTCCCCAGCCAGCTCTGATGCCGGTCACGTTCAAAGTAGCAGTAGCAGCTACTTAACCGAATCTGAGGATAGCGAGGAGGCGGAGAGGCCTTCTTGGGATAATAGGAACGATCCTCTCATGATCGCCGTCTCCTCTAAGGACCGCGAGCTCATGCGGGCTGCGCTGCCAGATTTTATCAAACGGCGGCCGCTGGGGGGTGACTATTCAATAAAAATCCCGGCTGCTCTGGGAACAATATGGTGGATGGACAACCGAACGCGAACGCTTGGTTCGGGTGCTACGAGGCGGCCTTCGTGGCCGGAGTCCGCTTCCCTCTCTACGACACAATAAAAGCCATACTTAGGGGGTATGGCCTAGGTCTCTGGCAATTAACCCCCAACTCATGGGTAAATATTTTAGGGTATATCGCCGCCTGCGAGATGCAGGGCCTCAACCCCGGCTGGGAGGCGTTTGCCCACATGCATTACTTGAGTAGGATCCCAGGCGGCTGGAGAGCCTGGTATACCTTGACCACCCAGCCCAAATACCTGATGACCTTGGACAAGCCATCCAAATGGTCGGATTGGAAGCACCGGTTCTACTTGGTTAAGGCCCCAACTACGGCAGAGAACAGAGAATTCCGGATCTACAACCGGAAACCAGAACTCTTGGGGACCAAGTGCTGCCTGCCACCTGTCCCGGAGGATGATAGAGAGACCATCCTTGACTCCGGGTTTTTTGAGTTAGTTCCTGACACCCTCTCATCCGGAGAGATAGTAAGGGTACCTAGAAACTGGGGGCCCAAACATGAATTTTTTAGGGACGAATGCTTCTTGTCCGCTTGTGGTCTAAGCAGCATGTTTAAAAAACGTATGTATTCGGAACTCAACCGGTTTCTTTCGAACCGGATGCTTTTATTTCCTTGCTTATTTATTATTCTAACTGTGTGCCTTCCTCTGCAGAAGAAGCCAAGAAAATGCTGCCCACCGAGAAGACACCGGCTAGGTCGGCTGCCGACATCCGGAAAGCCAATCTCGAGAAAAAACTTGCTGCCCAGGCGGCGAAGAAGGTATAACCGTCTGATCCTTCTCGTTTATTTCAATCCTTTTATCCCATAACTTATATTTTTCTCGTTTACAGGACGGGAAGCAGATGCCCCGGTCCCTTCAAAAACAGGTCAGGCCTCCGCCGACCCAACAAGAGTCTGCATCCAAGGTGCAGAAGACAGCTGACCGGCAAACTACCGGTGGCAAATCAATAAAGGTCCCAGACGGGCCTGGATCTGCGGATGTGCTTTCTGCCATCCCATTGAGGACCGCAACCGGTCCCTCTGAAGGCCGTTCGGGCCGCCAAGGTAACTTCGACCTTACACTGCTTGATCTGCCCATGCGGGTCAAGTCTTATTCACAGTCTCGATCGCAGCCGGGGGATTCTCCAATCAGCCGGCAATCTATAGGCAGAGCATATGCGAGTTTCTCACCGTCTGTTTCTGGTGCAGATAATTCTCCCCGCTGGCCGGACGGGGCACAATATGCCCGGGCCATGCTAAAAGCCGTCCCTAGGGACGAGAAGGAGGCGATCCCTGGGATCAACTCCTTTAATGCCGACCGGGTGCTGGTCGACCTAGCCGACGTATGCTCCAACAACCATGCGGTAATTTTCTTGACGTGCATTTTTAAATATGCAGTATTAACCGGCTGTATTTTTGCAGGCTATGCTGCGCGTAGAGGGGCTCAAACGAGCTTATGCCCGCAAGTCTGAAGAGGTAAGGAGAAGCAAACGGGCTGTTGATGACGCCCATAATGTTGCTGACTACTCTTTGTACATGCATGGCTTAGAATCTAAATCTATACGCATGGAACAGGCGGAGAAGGCCAAGGCCCTCCAACAGCAGATTGATCAGCTGAAAAACCAAGTTGACCAACTGCAGGCGTCCCTGGAAGATGCCAATAAAAAGTTGGAGGAACAGAAAGAGCCCCTCCAACGGCTGAGCAAGGCGGAGACTGAAAATGGCCGCCTTGCCAAAGAGAATGAGCGCCTGCGCAAAGAGGCGGCTGCTGCCAATGAGAACTTCAAGGCCACCTTGGAGTCGGAGCAGGAGAGGCTCATTGAAGAGAATGAGCATGACTGTGCAAACCGGATGCAACGGGCGTTTTCCATCATCCACCCGGAGGCGGACTTCACCGTCTGGGAACTCGCCTTCAAATATTCTGATCTTGCCATTCTGGCCGAGGAGGCGAATGAGCCGGGGCCCGGACCCTATGACGCTTGGGTTAGGGAGGAGATTGCGCGACGGCAGGCGGAGGCTGCTGAAGAGGAAGAAGTCGTTCCTGAAGCCGACGCAGCCGCTCACCCTGATCCAACCCAGAACCAACCGGAATAGGACCGGTTCACTGTTCGCCTGGAGTAGCAACTACTTCCCGGCCTGCGCGCCTTGCATTATCTTGTAATAGCACCGGATGAGATGGGCTAAGCTGTAATAATTTTTATTTTGAATATTAACATTTTCACCGGCTGAGCCGGCTTTTGAATGCTTTTTATGTTTCTGCACTTCAATACTAGAATTCTTGTTATTTTTTATACATATTTCTGCGAGGATAACCAAAAGAACCCCGCTGGTAACACTACCGCTTGGGTCTTCGCAAACATCAAAGAAATTTGCAAAGGTTGCCAAGAGGACCCCACCGGTAACACTGCCGTCTGGGTCTTCGCAAACTAGGCGAAGAAATTTGCAAGGGTTGCCAAGAAGACCCCACCGGTAACACTGCCGTCTGGGTCTTCGCAAACTAGGCGAAGAAATTTACTAGGGTTGCCAAGAAGACCCCACCGGGAACACTGCCGTCTGGGTCTTCGCAAACTAGGCGAAGAAATTTGCAAGGGTTGCCAAGAAGACCCCACCGGTAACACTGCCGTCTGGGTCTTCGTAAACTAGGCGAAGAAATTTACTAGGGTTGCCAAGAAGACCCCACCGGTAACACTGCCGTCTGGGTCTTCGCAAACTAGGCGAAGAAATTTCGACCCAAAACCAAACCGGATGGCGTCTGGGTAATTGCCCCTGGATAGCGGTCTGGGTCTTTGCAAGCCAGGCGACTATCCATATGATATAGCTCGAATATACACTAAGTGCCAACATTAGATTCGGGAGCCAGTCGGTTTATACTGAATTACCGGTCGGGACTTCGCAAAAGAATCACGCCAGATTAGGATGTCCATTCACCGGTTGGGCTTTTGCAAGCATACCCCTGAATGAATTATGGCCTAGACCAAATGTTTAGGCCTGCTCTTAGAGAGTCAGGCGGCGGTATTGAGTACCGGCTGTCCTTCCAAAAAGTGAGCCGGCTGCAAGTTTGGGGTTGCTAGCCTGCCCCTTTTTTTTTGGTGCGAAGGATCGTCAGGCGGATTTGTCCGCCTGTGTGATCACTTAGAACAATTTACCACCCAAATGGGAGATGTTCTCTTCGATGAATTCACCCGTATGGGTGTCACCGGATGAAAAAATTTAGGCCTGCTCTTAGAGAGTCAGGCGACGGTATTGAGTACCGGCTGTCCTTCCAAAAAGTGAGCCGGCTGCAAGTTTGGGGTTGCTAGCCTGCCCCTTTTTTTTGGTGCGAAGGATCGTCAGGCGGATTTGTCCGCCTGTGTGATCGCTTAGAACAATTTACCACCCAAATGGGAGATGTTCTCTTCGATGAATTCACCCGTATGGGTGTCACCGGATGAAAAAATTTAGGCCTGCTCTTAGAGAGTCAGGCGGCGGTATTGAGTACCGGCTGTCCTTCCAAAAAGTGAGCCGGCTGCAAGTTTGGGGTTGCTAGCCTAGCCTTTTTTTGGTGCGAAGGATCGTCAAGCGGATTTGTCCGCCTGTGTGATCGCTTAGAACAATTTACCACCCAAATGGGAGATGTTCTCTTCGATGAATTCACCCGTATGGGTGTCACCGGATGAAAAAATTAGTTACTGGTGCCGCTTGTGGTAGGCAGAAGACATGGCGGCTGTATACAAAATTGAATGTAATTCTCATTAATCATTTGAAAATTTTCAAAAGATGTACAATACTTAGAAGTAGTATTTTTTGAGGTTATCTACATTCCAAGTTCTAGGCAACTTTCTTCCGTCTGGAGTTTCCAGGCGGTAAGTGCCGTCTCGTACTTCTTCAAAGATCCGGTAGGGTCCCTCCCAATTTGGGGTTAATTTGCCTTGTTCATTGGCCCTACCGGTTGCCTCCATTTTGCGAAGCACAAAATCTCCTTCTTTCAAAGGTCTTTTACGAACCCGCTTGTTGTAGGCTCTAGTCATACGCAGACGGTAGATTTCATGACGCAAGGCAGCATTCCCCCTTCGCTCTGGAAGAGCGTCTAATGCCAACCGCATGGCTTCCCAGTTAGCCTCCTCATCATATAACATAATGCGTAGAGTAGGCTCATAATGTTCAATGGGAAGAACTGCTTCAGTGCCGTATGTCATGAGAAATGGGGTCTCACCGGTTGCCCCCTTTTCGGTTGTCCGGATAGCCCAAAGGACATGAGGTAATTCCTCTGCCCATAGTCCACCGGCTCTTTCTACTTTCTTCTTTATCCCGTCTGAGATCAACTTGTTAAAAGCCTCAACTTGACCGTTTGCCTGAGGACGGCCAACGGATGCAAAACAATAGGAAATTCCTTGGTCTCCCAACCAGGTCTTCAGGACAGGCGTTTCGAACTACGGTCCGTTGTCGAAAACCATGGACATTGGAACCCCGAACCGGGTGATGACGTTTCTCTAGATGAAAGAAATCACGTCTTTCGTTTTAATCCCTTTTACCGCCTCTGCCTCAACCCATTTGGTGAAGTAGTCTACTGCTACAAGAATGTAGCGGCGGCCGCCTGATGCAGGCGTATAAGGTCCCAAAATGTCCATGCCCCATTTAGCAAACGGAACCGGACTATGGATTGCCGTAAGTTCTGTTGCCGGTTGATGTATCAACTTAGCGAATTTTTGGCACTTGTCGCATCTCTTTACTAGATCCATGGCATCCGCTTCAAGAGTGGGCCAGAAGTACCCTTGCCGTCTGGTTCTTCTGGCCAGGGACCTGCCGCCAATATGCGAGGCACAAAACCCCGCGTGCAGATCTTCCAAAACTTCTCTCCCCCTAACCGGGGTTACACATTTCAAAAACGGCTGCAGGTATCCCTTCCGGAGGAGTTCCCCTTGATGCATAACAAAACTTGAAGCACGCTTCTTGAGCGCTGATGCTTCTGAAGGGTCATCCGGCAAGGTACCATCCGTCAAAAAGGACCGGATGGGATCCATCCAGGTAGCAGTTCTGTCCAAGACTCCAATGGGATCATTCTGAATACTTCGTTTTTCAATGACTTCCCAAAAGACCGTCCTAGGAGCATCACCAGAGGCTGATGATGCCAACTTTGAGAGGGCATCCGCCTGATTGTTTTCAGACCAGGGCACCTGTCGCAGATGAAATTCATCGAAGGACCCAGCCTCCTCTTTGACCGCCTGCAAATATTTGATCATAGCCGGATGGGTGGCTTCGTAGTCACCTAGGTATTGGCTAACGATCAGCTGTGAATCTGAGCAGGCGTCGACCTTTCTTGCACCGGCTGCCTTACACATGCGCAATCCGGCTAGCAGGGCTTCATACTCTGCCTCATTGTTGGAGGCTTGGAACTTAAACCGTAGTGCATATTCAAAGTTATCCCCTTCCGGGGAATGACAGATAACACCTGCACCACAGCCGTTCACCGTAGAGCTGCCGTCTACAAATAACTTCCAGACCTGATCAGGGTTTTCCGGGTGCACCGGCCTAGTCATCTCGACAATAAAGTCGGCAAACGCCTGACCTTTTACTGCCCGCCTGGGTTCAAAAGTTATCTCAAGGCCTTGTATTTCAACAGCCCACTTGATCATTCTACCGGATGACTCTATAGCAGTCATCGTACGCTTGAGCGGCTGATCTGTGTATACCACAACCGGATGTGCCAAAAAATAAGGCTTCAACCGCTTGACTGCTACGAATAAGGCCAACCCAAATTTTTCGATCAAGGGGTACCGGAGCTCAGCATTTTTTAAGACATGGCTGATGAAGTACACCGGCAGCTGAATGTCGTCTCTCTCAGCGAGGAGAACGGCACTAAGGGCGTGATCAGAGACGGCTAGGTACATGTACAGAACCTCCCGGGGTAGGGGGCTCACTAGCCTTGGCAAAGAATGCAAGTGCTGCTTAAGCCTCTGGAATGCCGCCTCTGCTTCTTCACCCCATTCAAACCTTGACCTCTGCCTGATTGCCTGAAAGAAATAGAGGCACTTGTCACCTGACCGGCTGAGGAACCTCCCCAATGCCGCCAGACAACCGGTCAACTTCTGGACCTCTTTTACAGTGCGGGGAGACTTCATGTCAATTACCGCCTGTATTTTTTCCGGATTAGCTTCGATGCCTCTTTGGTCAATCAAGAATCCGAGAAACTTCCCAGACTCAACACCAAATACGCATTTCTTTGGGTTAAGCATGACCCGGTGCCGCCTGAGTGTGGTGAAGGTTTCTCGCAGGTCTGCTAGGTGATCCGTCTGTAGCTTGGATTTGACTATCATGTCATCGATATACGCCTCTACATTCCTGCCAATCTGGTTGATAAAAACGGTGTTTATCATGCGCTGGAATGTAGCCGGTGCATTCTTCAACCCAAACGGCATCACCGTATAGCAGAATAACCCCTGATCAGTGACAAAAGCCGTCTTCTCCTGATCTTTCTTCCAGAGAGGTATTTGATGGAAGCCGGAATAAGCATCCATAAAGCTCATTAACGCATGGCCGGCTGTTGAGTCGACTAGGCTGTCAATCTTTGGAAGCGGGTAGCTATCTTTTGGGCATGCTTTGTTCAGATCTGTGTAATCCACACACATCCGCCAAGTACCGTTCGGCTTCTTTACTAGAATGACATTTGCCACCCAATCCGGGTAGTAGCATTGCCTAATGAATCCAGCATCCAACAGCTTTTTGACCTCAGCCGCTGCCGCTTGAGATCTTTCTCCACCATGATCCCTCTTTTTCTGCCTAACCGGCTGCTTTTTGGGATCTACGGCTAGCTTGTGGACAGCAAGATTCGGGCTGACGTCTGGCATCTCTTCCACTTCAAAGGC